CTGTTTTCAGTCATTCCTCACTTGCACATTTTGGAGTACGTGCGTTGGAGTCTTGCGTGGGGAGCTGCGTTGTGCCATCTTGCTCCCCCTTCTTCGTCCATCTCCATCTCTGTCACTAGCGGAGCACCACACCTGGTGGGTCCGTTACACACGTCATGCGCTGCGATTCATGGTAGACATCCTCCGACGGTTCCTACTGCTGCTGCTGGCCACTCTTCTCCTGCTCATTGTCATGTTGTTCCACGTGTGCGTCATCGTGCGGGTTCCTCGCGGCGGACAAAAACAACGAACTTTAAGGAAGACGACGATGGACATGCGTGAAGCATCCAGCAGACAACCGGCGCACGCTGTCAAGTACTCCGCTGCGCGAACGACGGTCGGGGCGCGTCTTGCAGGTGCGTATGACCCGACTTTGTACAATCATCTCCCGCCTCACGAGCAGCCATTACCACCGCATCCTGAAGAGCAATGGGTGGATGATATATCCCGCACTCTGCCTCTAGGGAGAGGATCGATGCAGGACTGGATGGGGAGCCATTGTAGACAACGGGAGACCGTGACAAGTCCTCATTCGTTCTCTACTCTGCTAGAGGACGGTGTCGGTGGAGGTGATCGGAGATTGTGGACTTGGATTTTGGTTTGTGAAGCCGAAGTGGTCTAGCAGCTACACACACTCGCACGTTCAACCCAATGCCTAGTGTGACCATTGGCAGATCGAGTATGCATGGTGGAAGGTCCCCTCCGCAAGGTGCGAGCCCTGATGGGTGTCGTCCACCACCTCCGTTTTCTCGAGGTGTGGAATCATCCATTGACATGATTGGCACGTCATTGCCCCCCCCCTTCAGCATCACCTTTGAGTGTACCGCGCCGAAGGATAGGTGCAACCGACGGTGAACACAAGCATTGCCAAATCGGAGGAAGTTGGTGGACAAGCGTGGGAGTTATTTCGGCGAGACATGCGTCAAATGGCCGCGGAGAACATAACAAATGGGGTGTCCAAGATGCGTGTGGCGAGTGGAGAACTGAATGCAGAAGACTCCCAACGGGCGAGCGATTACGAATCTATAGATGTAATTTGCGAAGACGAGGCAGAAGATGCGGACGACATAAAGATTCGAACTTTGCCTGTGCGTGGCAAAGAAAGAGGTGGAGGCGTGCGTCAAGAGAAGGTTGTTTCCCGTGGTGGTCGCGGCTCGAAGGGTCCATCCGGCGAGAAGGCTGGGAAACATCCGTCATGGAGTGTTGAGGAGATGTTGAAGCTCGCCCGGGCGAAGAGGGATCAACAAACTCATCTCGAGGGCATTCCGCTCAACTACGGACGAATGCGCCAAAGGGAATGGAAATTGCAGGACCTTCAAAAGCATTTGTTGGCGGTGGGGGTGGACAGGACGACTGACGACATCAGCAAGAAGTGGGACAACCTCTTCCAGCAGTGCAAGAAAGTGCAATGGTATCAGAACATCTCCGGGGGGAAGAACTTCTTCAACCTCACACCTGCATTGAGAATGGAAAAAGGCTTCAACTTCAGAATGGAGGAACGTGTGTACGATGAGATAGACGCCATGTCGAAGGGCAACAAGACCATTTGCCCGGACAATGTCGCTGACACAAGCGCCCGTGGAGGAGTGCAGATGCCACGTTCCCCATCCGTTGCTGGAGAATCCGCCGCTAGGGGTGACGGGGATGATGGGAACGATGACGATGGAGGGTCGGCGCGGGAGTCCAACTTCAGTGCAGGTAGCACGGGAGGGGACTGCAAGAGAAAGAACATGCGCCAGCAAACATTTGAGGCCATTGTTGAAATCATGGACAAGCACGACGCATTGATGACTGACACGAAGGGTCCAACAAGCGACAATATTCCATTCTGGAGCAGCAGTGCGACATTATCGAGCGTGAGGTTGATGCCCAACGGCAGCACTACGAGGCACCCAACGAGGCGAACAGGTTGATGTGCACTACATTAGTGGAGATTGTCAAAGCCATCAGGAACAAGTTCTGATGTTGCCTCTGCTCCTACGTTGGTCGCCCTGTCCGTGCGTCCGCAGGCGATGCGCCCGTTGTTGGAGGGCACGGTGTCCCGACCCTCCTGTGTGCCAAGTTCCTGCATAGTACCAGTTTCCTGCTCTGGTACCTGGATCGTTTCTCGGCGTGGACATGTCCCGGTGGCGTAGCCCTCAACAAAAGGGGGGGGCCACAAGACTTTCATTGGTCCACGCAGGCTCGGTGCCCTGCTGTACAGCAGAGCACAACCGGCCTGTGGTCGTGGTAGCCACCGGGTTCGCCCTGGGACGAGGAAGTGGGAAGACTGGCTCTGTCTTTTCTACTGCGCGCCGAGTGACCTTCTGTTGAGTTATAGGTTAGATGCACTAGGCGGAAGTCACTGTCAAAAGAGAAAAGAAAAGAAAGAAAGAAAAGAAAAATAATAAAAACATCAAGTATGAATTTGTTTTAGTTCGGGGGAAATCTAGTGGCTTTGGGCCGCTGTGACTTTATGTTTTCTATTTTTTTCCCTATGATAAATTGGGTATCTGGCCGGATGATGGGGGGGTAGGATCATCCGGAAATCCGGATGATTAAAAAAAAGGCCAAAAAAAAAAATAAAAAATAAAAAATGATATTGCGCATGCAAAATACAGTAGAACTACATTCCTATTTCATGAAAAGCTTGATAGGGCATTGAAGGGTTCAAAAGGGGTAAGATAGGGAATAAAGGGGTTTAGAGGGGGGATGCTTAATTCATTCTATAATTTTTTATTTTAATATTATTTTATTCTCCTATTTTATTTTTTATCTTTATATTTGTTGAGATATCAAAGATGACCTCAAACCAAATGTTGTTCGTATCATTCATCTGAACAACATACGTTTTTTCCAGATTTTTTTGAATTTTTTATTTTTTGGTAAAAAAGAATATTTTGCGCAGGGCCGGATTTTCCATATCCGGAATTAATCCGGAAAATTCATCCGAATTGAAAATTCCGGATAAAATTGGTCTGTCGGATATCCGAAATTTTATCATAGTTTTTTTCATTCTTGTTTCACGATTATTATTATTATTATTATTATTATTATTATTATTATTATTATTATTATTATTATTATTATTATTATTATTATTATTACTATTATTATTATTATTATTATTATTATTATTGCTTAATTTTTCTACTTTTGATTTTTTACCTGTTGGCCTGTCCTTTCGCGGGAAAGCCAACAACAGAAAAATTTCCCAGAATTAAATAATCATTCTAGAGTAAAATTACATTCTAAATTCCAATGTTTCATTCCATCTTAAAAAATGTCATTCAAATTTTAAAATTTTTTGTCTTACTTGAAAACTTTCCTTCCAAGAATGGGGTATCCCTTCTTATTTGAACTGCATGCTAGAGAGGGAATGAAAGTCTGAATGAGTTCATGAAATATTTTAATTGGAATGTCATTCTAAGTAAGGATTTCCAGTCATAAATAGGTTAATCCAATCTAAATTAAACGATATTTGTTGTAGTGGAATGAAAGTCTAATTAAAACATTTCATAAACTCGTTCAGACTTTCATGCCATCTTGAACAAATAGATGTAGTTGGAAGGAAAAACTCATATTTAGACAGGAACTTATCAAATTAAATTGAAAATTTGAGAATTGGACAAACATTGGAATGATAATTTATAAATATGAAGGATTTTGTTTTTATGAAATGGTTTTTCAACTTTCGTTTCTTATGGGAATTTTTATGTTGAACGGTTTGAAATTCAAGTCAGCGGTCCGCGGCCTAAGGAGGCCGACCTTGTGTGTTTTGTCTGTGGGTGAGCTCCGACCTGGCGCCGTGCAGTAGAGCCCCAAAAGAGGGGCGACCCGCGGCTGCATCTGTAGGGAGCCCATCACCCCCTACAGGAGGTCATAAGCCCCCTCCTTGCCATCAGACACGGGCACCCGATGAAGATTAGCCTGTGCTGCGCTTTAAAGGGGGAAATGTAACTCTTAGTATTCCGTTATGGGACCTCAGCGTGGCGTCTGCAGGTCATTTCTTAGCAAAGGGGTGAGGGGTAGAAGATTTGACCGTTGGCGTTATGCCTCTCGTTTTAATTTTATTTTCCTTGTCTCGTTTAATTCGCTTAATTTTATTGTCACTGTCATTTTAATTTTTGTTTCACCTAACTTGATAAATAAAAATTTTGGTCGAAATAAAAACACAGATCGACAAGAAAATAACGGGGCTATCCATGCTGAGTTTGGAAATGCGATAGACAGCGATCCTATAAAGAAGGGAGGACTGTCTCATACGGCGAGAGATCAGACGGTCTCGCTATGCGACTGCGGCCTAGTCGATGAAGGGGGAACGGAGTGGTGAGGTGGACGTGTAAACCCATCTGAAGGCCCTGTCTGTGTACCCAGTAGTGGGTACTGGTCATTCGGGTCAGTAGACGGGGCCGGTGCGCTGTTTATCGGACTTAGCCTAGCTATGGCGTTGCATGGGTATAGGCCCGGATACGGGTACCACCAGGCCCGGTGGAGACCCATGTCTGGGGAAGGGCCCTGGATCACGGTCATGCTCAACTACGATGGGGGAGATGAAGTGAAGATGAAGATTAACGTGGAAGGGGCAAAAGAGGCGGAGATGCTGACGGATGGAAAACTGCGGGATGCGATCACGGAGGCAAAAGACCGTGCGGAGAGGCGTTGCAGGAGGGACGGAGTGACTGAAAGGTTGCAGGTAACGGTCTCGTATCATGAGACCGAGACCTCAATGGACACAGCAGACCTGGAACAGGCCCACGTGGACAGGGACTCAGGCGGTGAGAGTGAAATAAGTGAAGCGGGAGACCGAGAGACAGATCTCAGGTCCTGGAATAGACCAGGCGAGATCCAGAGGCATCATCGGGCCGCGAAGACAGTTGAAGAGGGACCTAAGGTCAACTCTTGACAAGTGACGCCCAGAGGCCGCGGGGCGGGAAAGAGACAGAACAGGGGGAAAGGACGCGTGTGAGGGGGCATCGTCCGGAGTCGGTCAACACGTGCTACTCTTAGAGACAAGTGGAGAGAGTTGCGTGGCACGGGCGGCGCGTGAAAAAGAGAGAGTCGGTGCACAGATGAGAGGGGGTGTGAGGTGTGTGTGTGTATAGGAGACTGACGTCAACTGGGCTTCGGGGCGCATATGAAAACAGAGGACATGTGCGGTGCGTGTACCTGAGATGCTGACGTCAACTCATGCGTTTGTCGCAAGCGGGTGATGTCGATCCTCTCTGTGCTCAGACAAGCGGTAAAGATGAGAGAGAGGGGAGCGGGGGTGATCGAGAGAATATCCATTAACGTCAGCCAGATCTCTTGAGTAGTGAGTAATGTCCGTTGTGGTAACCGCTCTGAATGAGCAGAAAGAAAACACGTGCGCCCTGGTCAGGACAACGAGTGAGACAGAAGTGCATGGCGGACCTGGCTAGGCTTTTGAGCGCTGCTGTATGCGTCGTTCTAGCGTCTCGGAGTGGTCAACTTCACCATGCACATGGGTTTCTTGTTGTCTTCTTCTTTACTTGGCTATCTGTATTTAGAAGACGTGTCGCGACTGTAAAGTGTATGCTTATAGTGCGAAGACAGACGTGAGAAAAAGAGAGGCGAGGCCGGCGTGTTTAGGAGCGGCATGCTCACTCGGTACGTTGGCATCAACTGTTCAGTATGAGTTCATGCAGTGTACCTGCTAAGAAGGTTAATGCGCGTGTCAACGGGGGTACGTATTCAGGGTCATTTCTCTGAAGCACGGAGTGCGAGTGTGTGAGCTATATTTCCTGTCTAATCGTGGACTCTCACCATCATCTTTAATCTTCAGTTGGCTGCCCGAGTGCGTCGTGTGAGTCAGGTCTATGACGAAAGATGGGATTAGCCACTGGGGTTGAGCTACGTATTTGAGGAGCGGCTGATGCAGTCACTCTTCTTAAGTTTTAGTGGGTCGAATGGCAATTGCTAAACCAATAATAGTGAAAAGGAGGGAAGTTTTTGCACGCCATGCTGACTCTATTGGGGTGGTGCTGAGTGCGTGAGACGAGCACTAAGCGGTGAAAACAAGACCTGAGGCTACTGTTTTCTTCTTCGTGTGTCATGATGATCAGTGTATGGAAGGTCTCTACGGAGTGGCCGTTGCATAACTAGGCGGTTGACGTCATCAACCTTGGTGCTCATCCTCGGCTGACCTACGGGAACTGAGGGCCTCTTGGTTTACTACTCAATTCATTTTTTGGCTCACTCCCTGGCGCTACTTTTCGTGCCTTCGCTACTCAGGGTACAGCCTCGCGATTGTTAATTGTCGGCCTACAAAATTATTAAAGAGGATCTTGCGTTAAAGGAACCACGCGATATAGTTGCAAGAGTGATTAATGAAGGAAGGGTCAAAATCGTAAGGTAAACCCCGGGGCGAATGAGACTCAGTCTGTTTTGTGTGGGTTCCACTATGGCAGCGAAGACCTCGTAACTCTTCTGCAGACGTCGTTTTGGCGTAGTTCAGGGTATTTTTGGTTGCCTATTTAAAGTAGCGAGCATTGTGGGAGGGCAGTCGCTTCAGGCGTGATAACGCCTCTCACTTGATAATGTATCGCTTGGTAGAATGAGCGTCTTCGATCCGCCTGATAAACTGTCAGTTAATAGTGAATGGCCAGTTGAGTAATCTCCACGTAGGAATGGTCGATCATACCTATAGAAAAAATCGTCTAAGACTCGTGCTTCGTAGGCAGCCACTCCCACCTGGTATAAGCCCTGACCTACTGGCACGTTTAGGGGGCCGATGACCTTGAGATTCCGTTTTCGAACTATATTGAGCATGTACGTGGGTGAAGTTTCCTTCCTGAACTCTCGTTTAGCCTCCCCAAATCTTACGTTTGTAATGTGTTTGGATGATCAGAGTAATTACGAGTCGTTGTTACTTCTTTTGCTTGGAAGCTGCCAACTGGCTCTGGCGAGCTTCTCAATGAGCACTGAATTCACAGTACTCGTCTGGCGAGCT